CGCCCCTCAGCCTGACCCCGCCCCTCAGCCGGCCCCGGGATCCATCTCTCAGTCTAGGCCACACCCCGGCCACGCCCCCGACGGCCAGACCCGCCCCCAAGTCCCGCCCTGGGAGCTCTCCCTCCACCGCGGCCCCGCCCTCTGCCCCGCCCCTGTCCGCTAGCTCCCGCCCCTTAGCTGGGCCCGGGGATCCTGTCCCTCAGGCCTGCCCCGCCCCCTCCAGGCTCCTCCCCCAGCTCCACCCCAGGGTGCTGTCCCTCCACCTAGGCCCCGCCCCAACCCTCCAGACTCCGCCCCTCAGCCCGGCCCAGGATCTGTCCCTCTACTCAGGCCCCACCCCCGGCTGTGAAACCCCGCCCCTCAGCCCGGCCCCCGCCAGACCCTGTCCCAGCTCCACCCCCAGGATCCTGTCTCTCCACCCAGGCCCCACCCGGTCCTTCAAGGCCCGCCCCTCCGGCAAAGCCCCGCCCCTCAGCCCAGGCCCCGCCCCGCGACCTGTGGCGCAGGCGCAGCGCCTGGCAGAGCGGCCTGGGCCCTGCGGTCCTCGTGGTGGCTCAAGGCGGGCGCTCCACCGCCCGAGCCAGGCGCCACGGCCGGGGTTCCGGGGACGTCCCTGCCCGGACTGGCCTCGAACCGCCGACCTCGGAGCTCAGTCTCCTGCCCGGCGGACGCCTCCGCGGGGGCGCGGCCCCAGCAGCAGCTGCCTGTCGGCGTCTCCTCCTTCCCAGGTCTGAACCGTGGTCAGCAGGCAGGCGGCTCGGAGAGCCCGGCCGTGCATGTGGGGTTCAGAAACTGCCAGAAACGGCCAGAGCCTGGGTCCCGCGGGTAACCGGAGCCTGGATCCTGCAGGTAACCTGAGCCTGGATCCTGCAGGTAACCTGAGCCTGGATCCTGCAGGTAACCTGAGCCTGGACCTGGATCTTGTGGGTAACCTGAGCCTGGATTCTGCAGGTAATCGGAGCCTGGACCTGGATCTTGTGGATAACCTGAGCCTGGATCCTGCAGGTAACCGGAGTCTGGACCTGGATCTTGTGGGTAACCTGAGCCTGGATCCCATGGGTGACAGGAGCCTGGATCTAACCAGAGCCTGGATCCTGCAGGTAACCTCAGCCTGGATCCCATGGGTAACCGGAGCCTGGATCCCGCAGGTAACCTGAGCCTGGACCTGGATCCTGCAGGTAACCGGAGCCTGGACCTGGATCCTGCAGGTAACCGGAGCCTGGACCTGGATCTTGTGGGTAACCAGAGCCTGGATCCCGCAGGTAACCACAGCCTGGATCCTTCAGGTAACCTAACGTAGGTCAGGTTTTCCTACAGTCCCAGGAGTTCCCTCCCTGGTGGGGTTTTAACAAGGGATCTGGAAAGGCCTCCGTGGTAACAAGGAAGGGATCAGGACCTCCTGGACAACCCCCCCACCAGCCCTCCGGCTTCACACTGAAGAGCCCCGGGCAAGGCCCCCGGCACCCCCCAAGGTGCCTTGGGTGGAGGGAGGGCAGCCTCTTCTTTGGACAGCAGAGGCGGGGAGGGGGCAGGGTGTGTGTGGACAGAGTATTGGGGGTCCTCGGAGGGTAGAGGGGAGGGGGTTGTGGGTGACTCGCGGCCGGCTGGCCACACCGGCAGGGGCTTTTATGGCTACTAAGTACAGGTGCTCCTGGCAGAAAAGCCAGGCGTTGAGATGGGTCTCTTACCTCCTGGGCTCAAGCCACCCTCCTGCCCCACCTGTCGGCCCCATGGACCCCGGTGCTGCGGGGGGGGGGAGGGGTGTCCTGCCCTGGACAGACGTGAGACGCTGTCCACCAGATCTCCTCACGCTCCCAGGAGGCCGGGCGCATCTCCCCCAGGATGGAGGAAGCCTTGAAGTTAACAAAATGCCCGCAGGTGCCGCCGAGCCACAGGACGGAGACCCGGGGAGGGTGGACCAGCCCCCGAGGGCTGGGGAGGGGGAAAACAGGATCCCCGGCCTCCAGGAGCGCCCCCCGGTGGACCGGCCTGCCAGGGCCCCTGGGGTTGGACGCCTGGTAGAGGGCGAGGTGGTGAAGTCCAGTGGGACGTGTAGGTGAAGGAGTCGCTTGTGGGTGAAGACCCCGGGAAACAAGGCAGGGTTTCTAGGAGGTATGTGCACCCCATGGCCACTACCGCCCAGAGGTGGAGGCCACCCACGGCCCGCGGATGGAGGAATAGACAAACCAGAGGTAGCGTCACAGGGAGTCGTAAAAAGGGAGGGAATGGGGACACAGCTGACACGGCGAGGCCAGGCTTCCCCTGCACAGATCTCAACCACCAGTCGCCGGGATTACAGGTGTGACCAGCACCCGGTTGTTTTTTTTTTCCCCGCCTTCTTTCGTCTGAATGTTTCAACTTAGGTTGAAATTTCCTGCCCGTTGTCTGGGCCTGGAGTGAAATCTAGGGTGAATATTGTATTCAAATGCGGTTAAGTTTCGAAGAATAAGCAGGACTGCTTTCCTTGGCAGCCTTTCTGGTCATGGTCAGGTGTGAGAGGCCATGGTCTCCTTCCGCTCCGCTGTTAGGAGAAAATTCCTCCCCCCTGAAGGAGGAAACGGTTGTATTTAACAGAAGCTAGAGCTGGGGATGGACACCCAGCCCCGGGCCGGGGAGAATTCCAAGGACATCAGAGGGATTCCCCGCCCCGGGGGCTCCCCAAGCCGCTGCGCAGAGGCTCCCCCATTGCCCGGAGATCCGCAATCTGGTGGCCACGCTCGAGCTGTGCAGATGTCCCCCCCCTTTAACACCGTACAATAAAAGGACAACAGGACCATGCTGTACTCACACCTGTCATCCTAGCTACTCAGGAGGCTGAGATCTGAGGATCGTGGTTCAAAGCCAGCCTGGGCAGGAATATCTGTGAGACTTTTATTCTCAATTAGCCGCCAAAAAGGAGCTGGAAGTGGAGCTGTGGCTCAAGTGGTAGAGCACGAGCCTTGAGCCTCTGAACAAAGCTCAGGGACAGCGCCCAGGCCCTGAGTTCAAGTCCCAGGACCAGCACCAAAAAAAAAAAAATAGGGAAACAGCAGCATTTCCAAAATCTGCAGCCACCAACACCAAGTGGACAGAACCCACTGGAGACGTGGCCAGGGCTGTTCCCACGAAGAAGACACAGCCGTACACTCTGTTCAGTGTGACCAGGGCCGTTTACTTTTGAAAATGTCTTCGGGGTCCAGGCTGGCTTTGAACTCTCAATCCTGCTGCCTCACGCTCGGCTGTGGCCTGTGGCGTGTGCCGTGGACGGGGAATGAGACAAAGAACGCCGTCTCGTGGCTCTCCACCGGCCCCTTGGGACAGTCAGACGGGCCGGCCTTGAAAGAACGGAGTGGAACACAGCTTTTAAATAACTTTATAATTTCCCGACGGATTTAGTTTGTGAATAAAAAAAAGGAAAAAGAAGAAAAACAAAACACCCCAAACAACGTGTTTACAATAATGGTCAAGGCAGAGTGGAACAGAACACAATGTTTTGTGACGTGAGCCGGTCAGAGACACGCGCGCCCCGAGGCCCCCACGCTCCCCCTCCTCCGGGACCCAAGCTACAGGGAGCCAAGCACGGGGGGGGGCAGCTCCCCACTAAAGTGCAACGTGCCGGGCCTGCTGCGTGTGGACGGGCGCAGGACTGGTGGGGTGCGGAGGAAGGTGGGGCGGGGTGCCAGCTCACTCTGGCCGCGGGTGGGGCCTCGCGCCCGGCGCTGGTCACCTCCTTTCCTGCCCAGGGTGGCTCTGGGAGCCCGGGCCCAGGGCCGGGGTGTAAAAGGCTTCCAGGGAGGTGAGAAGGGGCTGCGCGGAGCCCGGGCGCCGGCAGGGGCCGTGGTGAATGGCGTAGCACCGAGTGGGCAGCGGAGGGGCCGAGGAGCCCGGGCTGCCACACAGTATTAGGCACACTGGGCTGGGACCGACATGGGGGTGAGGGTGGTCCGGGGCGGGGGGGGTCACCAACTTGGAAGTCTTTCTGCCCAGAAGTCCCGAGGAGGTACGGCGGGTTCCTGGCAGGGGTGGGGCGCAGGCCCACGGCTCGGCCGGTCCCTGGGCAGCGGGCGCCCGGTCACACTACGCTAGGGGCTGGCATGGCCCCGCCTCAGCCGGCGTGGGGGGGGGTCTGGCTTCCCTGCGGCCGGAGTCCTTCATTCACGCGATCGCCCTGCACCCTGCATGGCCGACACGCCGCGCGGCTTCAACGTCTGCAGCTCTACGTCTACTTTTTAATAGTTTAATATGCTCAACAACGGACACAATGGAACCGCCCTGATTCTCTGAGCCACACGGACAACACGGACAAGCGGGGACGGAGGAGGAGGAGGGTGGGACACAGATCCACTCCCCGAGTTCACCCCTAAAAACCGCTGCTCCCTAAAAGGGGCAGGAGGAGGAATACCTAAGACAAGGCCACAGCACTCGCCACACACGTCGGGAAGAGGACACAGGCGGTTCACGGTTTGACACTAAAACGTTGGAGAGAGTTTTTGCTTAAAAAGAGTCGGTAGGACAGCCATTTTGTTCAGAAGGATTTTGGGGTTCCGCAGGCTCCCGCGAGGCCCCGTCCTGAGCAGCCCGCGCTGGCAGTGATGGAGACCCTTGCGCTGGCCTCTGTCCCCCCGCGTGGGGACCGCGGCGGGAGGAGAGGCGGGCTCGGGGTCACTGATGTCCTGGACACGGGGTGTGGGGGTGGGCATGGGCAAGGCCGGGAGAGGTCACGTCCACACAGCAGCGGGGCTCTGGGTCCAGCGGCCACTCCTGGCCGTGGGGGGTGGGGGCCCCACAGGGCCAGGGCAGACTTGTGCTGAGGGGTGGGCAAGACACCAGCTCCTCGTGGACAGCGGCCGGGGTGCAGGTCCTCAGGGAGCGCCGGCGGTGGGGGAGGGTGCATGGCAGCGGGAGGGGTCACGGGCTGGTGGGTGCGCGTGGGTGCGGGCCCGATAATGGCCTCAGCCCTGGAGGGGTCTCTCGCAGCCCTCCCCACGCACAGGCGGCCATGCGCGCAGTACCACGGAGCCAAACACTGCCCAGATTCCTTCATGCCGGCTGCCCGCTGGAGCAGGACCAAGGGGGCTCCCTGGGGGGCCCGGAGCCGCCGCCTGGCTGCGCCGAGCATCCAACCGTCCGACCGCTGTCCGTCCCGCCAGCCCGCCTCTCGGGAGGAGGGCCGCAAACCTGGACCAGGCTGTGGGGTGTGTGGTTTCCCTGGAGCCTGGTGGGGCTTGGAGGCTGGGGTACCCCTGGCTGCCCAGCCTTCCACCACTGACCCCCACGGGCGCCGCTCCAGCCCCCAGCACAATGCCGGGGTGGCACACATCCCGAGCCGCATGGCTGGCCAAAGACTCCTCTGGAAAAGTCCCCCGTGCTCTGATTCAAGGGCATCCCGAAGCACCCACGCCCCAGCCCAGCTCTCAAGGTGGTGCCCGGCACTGGGCACACAGTCAACTGGAGGATGGGGGGCGGAGGGGGAGGGACACATTCACTGTGCCCAAAAAAGGTTCCAGGCGTGGCACGAGGCTGCCGTTCTGACGTGCGGGTGAAGAGGCAGCGAGGACCGTGGGTATTGGGCGAGAGCCTGGGGCGGGCGGTAGAGAGCATTCTGGGGGTCCGGCATCTTCCTGGGGCGGGCGGTAGAGAGCATTCTGGGGGTCCGGCATCTTCCTGGGGCGGGCAGTAGAGAGCTTTCTGGGGGTCCGGTATCTTCCTGGGGCGGGCGGTAGAGAGCATTCTGGGGGTCCGGCATCTTCCTGGGGCGGGCGGTAGAGAGCATTCTGGGGGTCCGGCATCTTCCTGGGGCGGGCAGTAGAGAGCTTTCTGGGGGTCCGGTATCTTCCTGGGGCGGGCAGTAGAGGGCATTCTGGGGGTCCGGCATCTTCTTGGGGCGGGCAGTAGAGGGCATTCTGGGGATCCGGCATCTTCTTGGGGCGGGCAGTAGAGGGCATTCTGGGGATCCGGCATCTTCTTGGGGCGGGCAGTAGAGGGCATTCTGGGGGTCCGGCATTTTCTTGACGCCCAGGGCTGGGCTGTCACGGGCACACACTCAGCTCCCTCAGCCCGGCGGCACCCCCGCGAGGAACAGCAGGGTACGGGTTGGGGGGCTCCTGCTCTGTCCTCGGCACCCTCCTCCCCCATTTTGGGAGAAAGCACCTGCGGCCACGCTAGACGGAGGGAGAGGGGTGGGCTGTGGCCCCGCCCCCGTCCCCGCTGGGGGCTCCTCAGGGAGACCAGCGACACCCACCCATCAGAGACAACTCTGGAGGCAGAAGTGCCCGGGCGACGGTGTGAGACGCCGCACTCACGCTTCTCCGGAGCAGCAGGCAGGGTGTGCTTCGGAGGGGAGGGTCCGACGCCTGCTCCAGGCGCGGCCCCCGCCGGGCGGGCGGAGGGGTCAGCAGGACTCCTCCAGGGCATTGACCACCTGCTCCAGGATGTCGGGGCAGTGGTCGGCGATCTGCTGGAGGATGGCGTTGGCGAACTCCTGCAGCTCCGCGTTGTCGCGCTCACCCTTCTCCAAGGCGCTCTGGAGCTGGAAGGCAAAGGCGGGGGGGGGGGGGTTGGCTTCAGGCCCGGGCCATGGAGGATTGTGGTTCCTCACCGGCCTACGTAACCCGCCCCCACCCCCCGTGTCTGAAGTGTGGGGGGAAGCCGGGCAGGGGTGGCCTCTCCATGCACCGTGCTCCCTGCCCCGGGGGGACTGAAGCCCTTCTGGCCTGGTTTCTTACACGTAGTTATGTAGGCAGCATTGGAGGGCTTGGATAAAAAGAGCTCTGGGTAAACCCCAGAAGATGCTAGAAACTTAAAAAAAAAATGGTGCCATTTCTTCTTTTCCCTTATACAAGAACAATAATCTAGGAGCTTCACAATCTGTTGTTTCAAATGTAGAACACGCCCAGATTATTCCCACCCTAGCAAGAGCCAGATCATTGGTAACTGGTAAAGTCCCGGAGAGATGAGCTTGTCTTTGGAAGAAGCAGCAGGGGAGCAGGAGGTGAACAGGAAGTAGACAGCTCACTACTCAGGTTTCTAGGGTCGGGGTCGGGGCATGGGCCAGCGGCAGGAGCCCCACCACCAGGGTGTCCACCGGCCACCCCAGGCCAGCCTCAGCCGACTCATCCAGTGACTCGTTTACCCCCAAAGCTCAACAGCCCCCCAAAGACAAGGAGAGATGCACACTACTGACCTGGTAAAAACCTGTTTCCCTCCCAGACCTTCGTCCAGAGGCTGTCCAAGCACGTGATAACCTATAGCAGGTTGACTGTGTCCCTGACCCCTTTCTGTCCTTTGAGACACATAGGGCAGTGGCTCTGGGGGAGGAGTCTGGGGGAGCACCTTGGAAGACTATCCGTGACCTCCAATCGGGGAGGGGTGGTAGATTTTGGGGGTGAGGGATGGGAAGGTGCTGGTGAAAATGCACTATTTCAGCTCCGGCAGGCGGAGTAAGCGCAAGCGGGTGGGTATATGGAGCACATCCACCATCCTGGAGAACGGTGTACCGAGCTCTTGAAAACAGAGCCATGAGCTGTCATTCCCACCAGAAAACAAACGCAACGCACGCCTTTCCACGCCAGCCGCAGAGAGTCCCCCCCGGCTGTGTGTAATTCCACAAAGGACCCGTAGTGCGCTTTTTTGGTGGACTGAAGAAACAAATGGGAACTGATACGTCAGTTAAGAAATGGTTTCTGGAGCCGCGTCCCCACGGAGCTGCCAAAGGCCACTCCCGGAGTGTCGGCCCACGGCAGTGTCAACCTTTGCCAGGCTCGGGTCAAAGGTCGGCTGAGAGACTCACCTGTTCCTGGGTCATCTTCTGCAGCTCAGTCTCCCAAGCTGCCCGGTCGCCGTCCGCGTGGTAGGAGGCTGGTGGAGTGAGCCCGCGGAGGATCAGGGGGTCTCGGTCATGGCAGAGGGCTGTCAGGTGTCCGATGTACAACTCTAGCTTGCTTCTATTTTGGTCAAGTTCTAACAGGGGCTGGATGATCTGAAGTGGGGGGGAGGAGAGTCAGGGTCAGTCAGAGATGAGATGTTCAAGTGCTCTGCCATGCCAGAGACCAGCCAGGGACGGAGCACCCAGCCCCGAGATCACGGCCCCAGGGACGGAGCACCCAGCCCCGAGATCACGGCCCCAGGGACTGAGCACCCAGCCCCGAGATCACGGCCCCAGGGACTGAGCACCCAGCCCCGAGATCACGGCCCCAGGCGCCCATCCCAGGTGGAGAACTCTGTATACTGGCGGGTCGCTGGGACCAGACGCAGCCCCAGAGGCCCCGAGGCACCCCCCCCCCAATCCTCTTTTCCTGTCATGGTGAGCAAGTTACAAAGTGACTGCTGGTCTGGAAGACGGGAGGAGAGCTCGCCACCCGGCTCAGCCCTCTCTTGTTCACAGTGGCTGTCGACGCCTCTCCCAAAGGGCCCAAGAAATCCTTCCAGGACACCCAGCCCGACTCTCAGCCACAGGCCCGGAAACTCCCTCACGTCTAGCGCCAGTTCTGCTCTGAATGTCTTCTTTTCTGTCCTTCACCCCGATGAATCCCAAGCCCTCCCTGCCCCACCCCAGAGCCCACGGCCAGCCGGGCACGGGGTGCTGAGGAAGAGTCGGGCTGGAGGGAGGGTCAGGCAGCAGGAGCCCGGAGCACAGCGGCTGGCCCCGGAACCAGCCACCCTGAGTGTTCCCAGGGCTTCCGGCGGGAGGGCGGGCATTTTCGTGAGGATATTCCCCGACACATCCTGGCTGAGGGCTCCCGGATGCGAGGGTCCACCCGAACGGGCCCTGGTACTTATTGCCTTCAACGGTGACACGGAGTACTTTGTGGATCCCATAGAGAACGATCCTGAGCTCAGGGTTTAGGCCTATGGAGTATAATGTGGTATCGAGTCTGGGGCCTGTCTGGACCCAGTAGACACAAGTGTACTTTAATTTTCATCCTGGATCAAAACCCCATTGCATGCAACCCACCGCCAGAATGTTTAGTCTTTCTTATCCCATCAAAGGGAAATGGTTAACAACAAAACAAAGCCGGGATTGGTGGCTCACGCCTGTCATCCTAGCTACTCAGGAGGGTGAGATTTGAGGATCCCAGTTCACGGCCAGCCCGGGCAGGAAAGGCCTTCTTTCCAATAAACCACTCAAAAAACTGGAAGTGGCGCTGTGGCTCAAGTGGTGGAGCGCTAGCCTTGAGCTGAAGAGCTGAGGGACAGCGCCCAGGCCCAGAGTTCAGGCCCCACGATTGAGAAAAACAAAACATAGTCACACAAGCATCTGGAGGTCTGTGACCCCGACCCACCAGCACAGTCCCGCATCTGCCCATTAAAAGCCACTTTGGCCTCTGGAATACGTGAGCCATATCAGTCAAGAGAAATGCCCTTATCTGCCCTCCTCCCTGACCCCCGCCTGTCTCTTCTGAGCAGCCCACTTAGCGGAGAAGCCACAGTTCCCACTAGGCAGAAATGCTGCTGCCCAATCTCCAGAGGAGGAAGGAGGACACTTTGTGTAAACACTGTGTTGTGTCCAGTGCGGCTTCGCGGGAGGCGGGGAGGCCTCCCCCACGTCGGCGGTGCGGCCGGGCCACTGCCATTCCAGCCGCTGCCCACCCCACCAGCCCCGCCATGACTGCAAGACGAGAGCTACGCTGGGGTCTGATCTGCAGGCCAGTGTTTGGAGGCCTCTGAGAGTCATCTGTAAGAGCTGAATGCACAGAATGAGCTCAGCGAAGCGGGCCTGGGCTCCAGCCCGACCCGCGGCCCGCTTCGCTGAGCTCTCCGATCATCATCAACTCGTTTTTGTTTTTCCCACCTATCTTGGAATAAAGCTAGCCTTGGGAGGGCTGCAGATACACATTTTTGGCACGGTTATTCTGGAGTTGGGAGTCTCACAATTTTTTTCTGCCTAGGCTGGACATGATCACCATCTTTGGATCTTGTCTCCTGAGCAATGAGGATTATAGGCACCTGACATTACAGCCCAGCTTTTTAAAACCAGAAGTGTTTGTGTGCCGGCACCAGGGCTTGAACTCAAGAGATATCAGAGTCTCTCTTGTTTTTCTTGCTCATGGATGGAGCTCTATCACTTGGGCCACACCTCCAGTCCGGCTTTTTTTTTTGCCATTTCTGGGGCTTGAACAGGGCCTGGGTGCTGTCCCTGAGCCTCTTTTGTGTTCAAGGTTAGTGCTCTACCAGTTCAGTCACAGTGCTACTTCTGGCTTTTTCTGAGTTGTTTATGGGAGTTAGCCTCACGGACTTTTCTGCCCAGTTTGGCTTCTTACCATGATCCTCAGATCTCAGCCTCCTGAGTAGCTAGGATGACCAGCGTGAGCCACGGGCACCTGGCTCAGCCTGGCTTTTAGTTAAGTGGAGATGGAATCACGTGGTTGTTTGGGCTGGCTCTGAACCACAATCCTCCATCCAGGTCTAAGCCTCCTGAGTAGCGAGAATGACAGGCATGAGCCACCAGCGCCCGTGCCTAATGGAAGTATTCCATGTGGATCTGAGGACTGGCAGGCACACGGTGAAGGAGTAAAAAGCGAAGTCAGTGGTGAATGCTGGTTCCGTGCCTGGAGGGCCAAATGCCACGAATGCCACATCAAAAGACCAAACTGAACATGTTCGTTTGACACCAGGGTGTCAAAAGCCAATCTGGGTAACCTCATTTCCTAGTCACGCGGAAGGAGCTCAGACGGCAGAGGCCCTTCCTGGGCTTGCCGAGTCCTCCGTGTTCTGGAATTTGTGCCTCTGGGCCTGACAGGGAGCAGCAGGGCTATAGGTCCGGTGCTGCAGGGTTTCAATGAGGTCTTGCTAACACGTGTTTTGCCTTAAATCCTGAATTTTTACCAAGAAGAACAAGGCATCTGTTTTGCTTATCTAAACACTAAGTCCCATCTGTGCACAACTGTGGTTTCCTGACATCACCAGTAGCCGGCGACGCAGCCCAGCTACACCTCAATCAAGTGCATCATTAAGTACATCCCAGAAATACTGACTGCAGATCTAGATCTGGCTGGAAACAGCCTCCTCCCCAATCAGGAAGGAAAGGCACCGGGGGAGAGGAGCCCCCCAAATCGGGAAGAAGGGGAGGCACAGAGGGAGAGGAGCCCCCCAAATCGGGAAGAAGGGGAGGTACGGAGGGAGAGGAGCCCCCAAATCGGGAAGAAGGGGAGGCACGGAGGGAGAGGAGCCCATTAGTTTGGGCTGATGCTGCAGGTTTGTGCCCCAGTGATTCTGAAGACAGAAGCAGGGCAGGAAGCGGCGCGGGCTCGGGACGAGGTGCGGAGAGTGGGAGCGTTGGGCTCCGAGGGACAGGACTGCTGTTCAAGGCGTGTCACCTCTACAGCCCCCTGCCCCCCCCCCCGCCGCTTCACACTGCAGAGCAGGACGGGCCTGTCTTCCATGAAGATGGGGTCCCACCACGGGTAACGGGTTCTAGAAAGTACAGTGGGCCTGCCTGGGTCACTGGGACCCAGACAAATGGCAGCTCAGAGGGTAACATGCTGGGGTGCAGGGGGAAGGAAGGCATGGAAACAGCTCCTGGCATACGAAGACTGCAGAGTGAGTACAAAACAGACAACAATCCTTCCGGAAATAGCTTTTCCGTGTGACGCCGTGGACTGAACCAAGGACTCGGCGTATGCTCGGCGTAGGCTCGAGTGCTCTGCGACTGGCCTGCGTGCACGGCAAGCCCTCACTCGTATTTTCATGCACTAAGATTTTTTTTTTGTCCTTGGGTTTGACCTCAGGGCTGGGCACTATTATCTGAGTGTTTGGTTTTTTTTCCTTCCCTTTTTGCTCAAGACTAGCACTCTACCAATTGAGCCACAACTCCATTTCCACCTTTTTGGTGTTTAAATAGAGAAGCGTCTCACAGACTTTCCTGCCTGGGCTGGCTGTGTACCATGATCTAGAGATCTCGGCCTCCTGAGTAGCTAGGATTACAGGTGTGAGCCACTGGTGTCTGGCTCAATAGGAACTTTTGAGCTAAGTAGGCCTCACACCTACAGGATGAGTAGATATACAGGATTTCTTTAATTGTTTGATCATCCGCTAGATCAAAACCAACGTTTTGCCACTGATGTAAGCAGGTGACCTGTCTCCGTCCCCCGGGGGAGCCAGGAGCGCCGCAGGGAGATGAGGTGCAGCCCCCTTTGGCTGGCTAGCTCAGTCCCAGCTCCTGGCTCCTGTGGGTAGAGCCTCATAGCTCTCTGTGTTTGTTTTAGCAGTCTGGTGGAGCCGCCGGGCTGCAAGCGAAGGAAACGGCAGCTGTTTTGGGCCACGGCGGCTTTCCTTCCTTCCAGACAGGGTCTCACAGCGCAGCCCAGGCTGCCGGGCCTCCCTCCCACCTCCTCCCCCAGGGCGGGGCCGGGCATGCGTGTGACATGCACACAATGTCACTACGTGCTTTTACAAGTAAAAACAATTTTTTGTTTTTGGGTCCGGTCGTGGGGCCTGAACTCTGGGCCTGGGCGCTGTCCCTCAGCTCTTCAGCTCAAGGCTAGCGCTCTACCACTTGAGCCACAGCACCACTTCTGGCTTTTTCTGCTTATGTGGTGCTGAGAAATGGAACCTAAGGCCTCAGGCATGCAAGGCAAGCGCTCTACCACTGAGCCACCTTCCCAGCCCCATGAGTAAAAATCTGTATGGTGTCGTGATGGTTGTGGCACACTTCAGAAAGGGTGAGACCCCCTTTCCTAGAACCCGCAGCTGCACCGTGCTAAGCAACCAACGGCAGCTGAGGGCTCAGAGCCAGGGGTCGCAGGTGTGGCCCCAGGAGCACCTGCCTGGGCAGGGCGAGGCCCTGAGTTTGAACCCTGGAACCGCCACCACCACCAAAATGCAGCCCCGGGCAAGAGGCCAAGCAGGAGGACCATGAGTCTGACACTGGCCTACAACACCCAGAGTGCAGCACATTCAGGGAATCGTGCAGTAACTGCAAAGTGAAGTCAGCACCACAGGGCTGTTACAAGTCGCTCTGTGGCAGAGGAGAAGGGAGGTCGGCGCTCCGGCCTGTCCGCTTTCCTGTCTCCTGGCAAAGCGGCTGGGGCCGTGCTGCCTGGGGCACTGCCAGGTTCCTTCCGCGTGGCTGGAAGCCCCACCCCCTGCCTGCGACCCTGCAGGCTGCACAACACACGCACACCTGCGGAGTAGGGCGGGCAAACTGGCACGCTGGCTTTCTCTGGTGTCTTCTTGTACGCCGCCTCTAACCCAGACAGCGTTTGTGTGTCCGAGTTTCGCTATGGAGCAGGACGGCCTGGAACTCGCGAACCTCCTGCCTCGGCCTTGTGCAACCATGCCCAGTCCACACTCCGCCCACAGCCACCGGGAAGCTGTCCACTTGGTGCTCGGCCCAGCTACCACTCACTGTGTCCTCTGCCTGGGTTCCGCAGGAAGAGGTCAGCGCACGCCCACATCATTTTAAGCAGTGCCAACACCGAGACACAGACATTTAAGGGAGAACTGATCCCACAGGTGTGCTCACTGAGAAACCCAGGCAGCAACGGCAGCATGTGCCAGGCCAGCGTGCATGTATGCAGTGTGTGTGGGCTGGGGGTGTGCACCTATCAGCGGCCTGACTACACTCCCCAGGGAGAGAGCTCAATCCCCCAGGGTCTCCGACCACAGGGAGACAGGCCTGAGCCGCTGGTCTGGAAGGGAGAATGTGGACGGTGTCCCGTCAAGTGCCGAGACCGAAGAATCCTTCCTCTGCTTCCTGAACACCATCCCCAGGAAATACTCTGAAAGCCATGAGAACCTTAGGGACTGGCCCTGGGTTCTTACTCTGGGAATTCAGAGTTTTCGCGGTAGACAGAAGAGAAGGTGGTACAGTACAGGGCAGAGCACAGTTTAAAACACAAATGATGATGCATTTATCACTAATCATCGTCAAAATCACGTCAAACCTAAGCTAAAGGCGGTATATTTGGTTAAATTTCTAGTGCCCATTGGATCTACGTCACAAAGACCTTTCCAGGACATGTAGAAATCATCCAACATAAGGGTAGTCTACAAGCAGAGTGCACCTGAGAAAACTGAGTTGTCTGCCCTGAGAGTTCTCCCCGACATGTAAGGGAGGGAATAGAAAAGTGACCATTAACACATCACACGAGAAAAGAAAAAAGTCAAAAAATCCATACCCCACATGACAAAAGCACAGCCACACACAAGAAGCATGTGAGGAAGACAACCAGAGGGCACACCGGGGTCACAGATCACAGGGACAGGGCACACCGGGGTCACAGATCACAGGGACAGGACACACCGGGGTCAGGGCACACCGGGGTCAGGAATCACAGGGACACAGGGCACACCGGGGTCACAGATCACAGGGACAGGGCACACCGGGGTCTGGAATCACAGGGATGGGGCACACCGGGGCCTGGCATTACAGGGACACAGGGCACACCGGGGTCAGGAATCGCAGGGACACAGGGCACACTGGGATCAGGGCACACCGGGGTCTGGAATCGCAGGGATGGGGCACACTAGGGTCTGGAATCACAGGGACACAGGGCACACCGGGGCCTGGAATCGCAGGGACACAGGGCACACTGGGGTCAGGGCACACCGGGGTCTGGAATCACAGGGACACAGGGCACACTGGGGTCAGGGCACACTGGGGTCTGGAATCGCACGGACACAGGGCACACTGGGGTCAGGGCACACCGGGGTCTGGCATCGCAGGCACGGGTGGAGTGAGGGTATGGGACAGCAGTGGGAACAAGCAGGGCGGCTGTGTGGCTGGGGAAGCCGTGCTCACCGTTCTCAACAAAATGGCTGAACTAAGAGCATCTGAGGGGCTAGGCCCAGATCCCCTCCTCCTCATCCTAGGGGGATGACCGGGAGCGGCGCCCGGGGCAGCATGGAATGAAAGAGAGTTGGGTTAGTAGTTAGACACAGGCATAATGCAGCACAAGAGAGATTCTTGGCTCGCTGGGTGAGACCCGAACTCGGCCAACTGCCAACGTTAGTAAATGGTTATTAAGTCCCATCTCCTCTTCCTGCCTTCCTAACATGTCCCGTGAGACGGGCGTGCTCCGACCACGTGTGGTCTTGCTCCAGCCTCTCTCCCTGGACGCCTCCCCATCCCGCATTCCTGTTTCTGGTAAAAACTGTTTCAGCTGGGAAGGTGGCTTCGTGGTAGAGTGCTCGCCTAGCATGCACGAAGCCCTGGGTTCCAGTCCTCAGTACCACATACACAGAAAAAGCCAGAAGTGGCGCTGTGGCTCAAGTGGCGGAGTGCTAGCCTAGAGCAAAAGAAGCTCAGTGACAGCACCCAGGCCCTGAGTTCAAACCCCAGGACTGGCAAAAAAATTAAAAAAATAGTTTCATGGAAGGGCCTGGAAGCGGGGGGCTGGCGGGGGAGGGCCGCGGACACCGGGGAGACGGCTCTGTCCGGGCCCACAGCAGGCGCAGGTGCTGAGGCGCAAGGCGCGTCTTCACTAGTAGACACGCTCACACTGGGCTACACCGCCAGCGTGTGCGAGACACGTTGCTACCCTGCGCCTTCTCACGTGGAGGTGACCACGGGCTGGGACCCCACCCCCTCTGTGGCCCTGTATTGTTAGAGAGGGTGTGATGGGGATGTTGCCATCTGACTTCTGGCAGTGGGAGGGAGTTCCCTTGGTTCAAAACACTGGAACGGAACACGGCTCCTGTCAGACTCATCAACGTCTCCGGTCCTGAGAAGACGCTGGAGGCAGCCATCCTCCCCCAGAACCTGGGCCGGAGACATCAGGAGCGGGGAAGAAGCCGAGCGGCGGCCATGGCTTTTGACATGTGATCTGACTTAAACTCCAGAGGTAAATGCTACACTGAGCTGTGCCTCACTGAGTCTGAGAGAAAAGAATCTTGTTCCCTGCGCTCCTCCCCCACCCAAATAAAGTACTACTGGTTTTTCTTTTCCTCTTGTTTTGTGGTGTTCTCCTCAGGCAGGATTTCACCTCTGTGCGGCCCAGGCCAGTCCTTCCTGCTTTCCTCTGTCTCCAGGGTGCTGGGATTACAGGCATCTACCACAGTACCCAGCAGGCCCGTTTCATATGAAAGGCAGGACTTCTTTCCAGCTCAATTTAGTAATTCTTTACCATTCTCAGAATTTTCAAGTATCTAACTACTAGGACGAAAGTGAATGGGTGTTTAAAAAGAAGGGCGGGGTGGTCAGAGCTGAAGTGACTCTTGCTATTTTCCTGGACCCTGGTCTGCGACACTCATGAAAATCAGTGTTAACGCCGGGGAGCGGCAGCTTACCTGGTCTGGGGAGGGCTTGTGGTTGGTTTGGTTGGAATGGGAGGATTTGAAGTGGCCATCCTCGTAGTTGTCGGCCATTAGCTTCATTCGATTTTGTGTCTAGGAGGAAGAGATTGATAAGGTTAACATCTCGGTGAAGTTTCAATGACACGCAGCGGCAAGGGACCAAGTTCTGTGAGAATCCCGTGAGCGCGGAAGTGAATCTTGTCCACAGGCAACTCCAGCACGGCGCACTCCTGAAGAGACTGCCGTGTTCCGTCGGCGCCACGGACGGTCCCCCAGCCGTCCCTCAATGCCACTGTGCTCAGGGCAGCCAAGAGCTAGCTCACGGGCATCTCAGAGGGCGACGCTACACCTGGCACATTGGCTGCCTGTCACCTACCCAGTCTAAGGCACTTGGCTATCGCAGCCTGAGTGGACTAAGGTAACACTGACAGTACTTGGTTTTTGGAGGTGAGAGTCTCAGACTTTCCTGCCCTCAGACCCAGTCCTTGGATCTCAGCCTCCTAAGTAACTGGATGATAGGTGTGAGCCACAGGTACCCAAACACATTCTTCTTGAAGTGGAGGTGTCTGGGGCCGTGCTCCCGGCGCTGCTGGGGGTGGCGGGCGGGCACTCCTGCGCCCAGCCACTGGGCTTCTCCAGGAATTCACCCTGGCTCCCAGCCACGGGTTGAGATGGATTTGGAAACTTTATGCCCGGGCTGGCACAGCATAACATTCTCATGATCTCAGTCTCCTGAGTAGCTAATATTACAGGCTCGAGCCCCACACCCAGCTCCCGTGACACCTTTTTCCTTTTTTGTTGGTCGTGGGGCTTGAACTCTGGGCCTGGGCGCTGTCCCTCAGCTCTTCAGCTCAAGGCGAGCGCTCTACCACTTGGAGCCACAGCGCCACTTCCACTTTTCTGGTGGTTCATTGGAGATCAGTCTCACGGACTCTCCTGCCTGGGCTGGCTTTGAACTGCCATCCTCAGATCTCAGCCTCCTGAGTAGTTAGGATGACAGGCGTGAGCCACCGGTGCCCGGCTCCATGACACCTCCTAAACTAGCCATGTCACAAAGTCTGCATTTCCTAGACACATCCGCAAGACATGGGCCACGGGATTAAGTCTTCTAATGATGAAAATTACCAGATACCTCCACCAGCTGCTGAACAGAAACACGAGGCCCCGAAGCCGAAGCCGGCAGAGCATGCCGAGCACAAGGGTTGAAGGCTGGGCCCTGGAGACATATACCTGCTGCTTGAGCTGCTGCACCAGACGGTCCTTCTCCCGCTTCAGGGCCGACACTTCCTCCTGGGTCTTCTTCTTAGAGGACGAGAGCTCCAAAAGAGCAATATTGGCATCTTTTTCACTAATGGCAGCCAGAAGAGCTTCTTGCCTGCAAAAGAAACATCAACACCTTAACTCTCCCAGCCATTCTTGGGAGTTGCTGTGACCCAGGTTTTATGGGTGGTGAAGCCAGGGCTGAGAGAGTTTACGCAGCCTGCCCAGCTTTGCACCGGGGGCCACCGAGCAGAAGAGCCCTGGGCCTTTTCTGACTCTGAAAGTCTTTCCCATGCTATCTGGCTGGTACTGATGGTAAGGGAGTTGAGGCGGAGCGGGGAGGGGGGCAGGCACTGCACCTTTCCACCTGCTGGGGTCTCTCACACCGGTGAGCAGCACGAACAGCGGTGGTCAGGGACCGAGGGGTAGCGGCACAACGCAGCCCTCGCAAAGGCTCAGAGGTCAAGATGGCCAAGCACTGCGTCCTCTACTCACCGTCCCGATCTCACGCTAAGTATTCTTATCACATGAATGTGACCATTTAACCTGGCTGCCTGTCATCCTGGCTACTCCACAGGCTGAGATCTGAGGATCGTGGTTTAAAACCAGCTGCAACAAAGTTCGTGAGACTCTGATCTTCAATTAACTACCAAAAAGCTGAAAGTGGAGTTGTGGCTCAAGTGGTAGAGTACCTGCTTTGAGCAAAAAAAAAAAAATAAAAAGCTAAGGCAAAGCACCCACACCCTGAGTTCAAGCCCTAGCACGCACGTATACACGTGTGTGTGTGTGTGCGCGCACACACACACACACACACCATTGAATCATTAAAAATGATAAATGTGGATATTTGGAGCTCTTATGGGTTGGTGAAGAAATTAATCCCCTCTTGAGCTGGGAAGGTGGCTCAGTGGTAGAGCGCGTGCCTTGAATGCATGAGGTCCTGGGTTCAATTCCTCAGCACCACATAAGCAAAATGAAAAAGCCGGAAGTGGTGCTGTGGCTCAAGTGGTAGAGCGCCCGCCTTGAGCTGAAGAGCTGAGGGACAGCGCCCAGGCCCAGAGTTCAAGCCCCATGACCAAAAAAAAAAAGTTATTATAACTGTACTGTATATGCCATAAGAAGTTCTTCCAGGGGCTGGGAAGGTGGCTCAGTGGTAGAGCGCGTGCCTTGCATGCATGAGGCCCTGGGTTCGATTCCTCAGCACCACATAAGCAAAAAGAAAAAAGCCGGAAGTGGCACTGTGGCTCAAGTGGTAGAGCGCAAGCCTTGAGCTGAAGAGCTGAGGGACAGCGCCCAGGCCCAGAGTTCAAGGCCTACAACCAGAAAAAAAAAAAAGAAATTCATTTGCCCAGACAAGATCAGGATGCCAGTGAAACAGAGACGCAGTGGGTGTGGGCACCGGGCAGCCACGTGGCACACAGCAGGAAGATGACGGGGTCAAGCGCGGGGCTGGCCGGAGCGGCTTCGCGAGGCTCCTTCTGGTTGGCTATCTTATGCTTTGTGGAACCTGCGGATGGGCTGTGGCTCACACTGCAGTGTGAGGGTTTGCTCTGGACTCAGCAGCCTGAGCTGTTTGATTTTCATCTCTGGGCCCTGTCTGGCCTTGACTCTTCCGCATTTCTCTGCCCGCCAGGTCACCTTAAACGGGGCTTCTTCCGCAAAATCAGTCCATCTCCCCACCCGCTCACCCCGGGCAACACACACAAAGAACCACTCCCAGTCCTGTAATAACAACTTGGCATATCATTGTTTTGCCTTTTTAAGACAGTTCCTAGATAGAGTTGTAAACAGGGTTTTGCTGTTCGGTGAGAACCCTCCCGTCCCTTTCTGCTCTATCCACTTAACTCCTTCCTTGAAACGCAGCCCGTGACTTTGGGCCAAGTGTGCTACTCCCCAGGAGGTCTTCACTGAACAGTGTGTAAACTTGAGCAAAGCAGACGTAGAAACAGAGCCTGTTCCCGGGCCTGCTGACCGCCATTCTTTTTATCTCATCAAAGCAAACAAGTTTAGAGTGTTCTGTGCTCTACTGCAAGTGACCAGAACTCTTTGAAATAACTGAACTTTGCAGATTCTTTGTGGTTTGGGTAACAACTCTGTGGGTTAAGCCCAGAAGGACAAGGAGTTGGATCTGGTAGGGAGATGGACAGAAGAAATTTCCAAGACAATCTGCATTGACTTGGTGAAAATTAGGTTCCAAGTCCAAAACGCAGCCTTCCATCTCTCATCTTCCACGGAAGAAGGAAGATTTCATTTACAGCAGTTATCTAAGTGGACTGAGCTTTGACCTGAGAAAATGCGTGAGAACCCGTGACTGGAGCTTAACTTGGTTTCTGTCTTTTGTGGATAATCGAGCTCCAGCAGCGGGCACGTGGAAGGGTTTTAGTTAAGCCGAAAACGGGGAGACCACCCCTGGAAGAGTCCAAGGGCTCTCTGTACTCTCACAGGGCCCTGTGCTGAACTCCCCAGGCAGTGCTAACTGGAAACAAAGACTGGTTTAACCAGTCGGTGCTTTACCCCCCCCCGCCTCCGCCAGCCATGCAGCTCTAAGGAATGGCAGATGGCTTTCCGCCATCAGGATCTAGTCAGCACGGGAAGACAAGGGCAGCCTAAATATACCCTCCGACCACTTGAAAAAAAGCATGAGAAGTGGTCAAATGAGCTTCAAGGTGAAGGGGTGCAAGATGGCTTCACTACGCAGCTTCCTGTGGACGGCTGCCATCTGTTCCCTTCTGGGGCGGAAGAGGCCGGGATGAGGCCAGCGCTCCCCCGGAGGGGCAGCCGAGGGACGCGCCCACGGCAGGTGACCAGTGAAACCCAATGCAACAGAAACCAGCTGGCCTGTGGACTCAGACGAGCCACCAGCGCCTGACTGGTTGTGAGCCGCAGTGCTGGGACGAAGCTCCAGTCTGTGCTTAAGGGAAGCGTAGCAGGAAATAGGAGAACTCACTAGACCCTGTGGAAGCATCGCAATGGAATCGTAAACGCTCTCATAAATGGTACGTTTGGCCAGCAAGGATGGTACGGCTAATCTCTGGGTGTAAAGGTCGTATTTCCAGATGGTAATACGATATTAACAGGCGACAGTTTCGATTTCAAATTTCAGAAATTCAAAGGATGTGCCACTGGAGTGTGAGCACTGCAGTGACTTCTTAGCCGGATAAAGAGCCTCTCGGGGAATTCAAGCAGAGACTCGTGTCGACGGTGCGATAGCGTCGGTTTGGGGGGAGGGGGCCGGAGTCTTGCTAGGTAGCCCAGGCCGACCACTGCTCCAGCACTCAGGAAGTCTGCCACAGCCCCAGCACTCAGGAAGTCTGCCACTGCCCCAGCACTCAGGAAGTCCGCCACTGCCCCAGCACTCAGGAAGTCTGCCACTGCCCCAGCACTCAGGAAGTCTGCCACAGCCCCAGCACTCAGGAAGTCCACCACAGCTGGCTTAAAATGCAAAACTTCTGTGTCAGCCCTCCACCTTTCAGAGGGAATGAAATCCAGAACGGAAAAAGAAGAAAAGTAATTTGGAAAAATAAATCTTATTTGAGGAGTTACCTTCTTAATACAATATAGTTCTTTGTAAAAGGATATTTTCTGATAAAGGTAATATATAACGTTAGCCAGGTGCTGGTGGCTCACAACTGTAAGTTACTCAGGAGGCTGAGATCTGAGGATCATGGTTCAAAGCCAGCCTGGGCAGGAAAAATCCGAGAGACTCTTATCTCCAATGAACCACCAGAAAACCAGAAGTGGTGCTGTGACTCAAAGTGGAAGAGCACCAGTCTTGAGTGAAAAAGCCCAGGGACAGTGCCCAGGCCCTGAGTTCAAGCCCCATGGCTGACCAAAAAAAAGGGGAAAGTGATTAAGTGACCATCAAGGCTTACCGTCAGCAAAGGAGGCAGGTAGCAACAGAATGAACCCAACTTGAAGCCATTCCCAGTGCGTTAAACCTCCATTCCAGTCGATCCTGCCCTTTGGCCTTCAAGTTCTAATAGAATCAAGATGTCTCTGAAAGGGCTCTGTGAGCTTCAGGAACCAGTAAGACCTCCCTGTCTGTCCCTTCCCCCCTTACGGTCACATTTCAGAAACTGGAGACAAAAGTCAAGGCAAACAGCTCAAAATCCCCTTGATAATTCCTGACTCCCTGAGAACACGCTAGCTTCCTTTCGGGCCCCTCCTCCTCCAAGCAGCCATTTCAGGGCGAAGGGCTACACAGCCATGTCTCACCATGTCCACAACCCGGACTTTGAGAGTTTCACGCGACGGATATGCAGGCCTCGTCGACTCCAATGGAGGTGAAGGCTGAGAGTCACAGTCTCTTACTGATGCATCAATGAACTTTTGGGTCTGTCGCTTCTCTTTGTGCCACCATTTGCTATGTAACCCCTTGCTACCCACAGTGTGCATGGGTCACCTGCCTTCCACCCACCATCTCACTTCCTGAAGAAATCCGTCACGGAGGTTTTCTCCTAGGGCCCCTGTGAGACTCAGAACAGGCTTCGTTCTCCACACGGCCATGGCTCCCGTGGGCTGTCTCTGCGGGGTACAGAAGTGATTCCTGGATTCTACGTCACGTCCACACTCATTTCTTGGGAGGCCACATGAAAATAAAGGTGCTTTATTGGACCTCAAATGTTGACTGTGCAAGCCTCCACCATGCTACAACAACCGACCCTCACCTCACCAGGGAAGACACGTCCAGAAACTCCACGCAGCCACCATGGCCTCTCCCTACCCCAACTCTTCAACGCTTTCAGGACTGCAATCCACAACCCATGACAATTATGAGTTCCTGATTTCAAGGTGGCAGAGCACGGGCCCACGGAGTGTTTTCTCCTTTGGAAGATCACTCCCAAATATGGAACAACAAAAACCAGACACTAATTCTATTTCTGTGGACACGCACGGTGACTATGACGCCACGTGATGCACAGAAAGATAAAACGGCTAAGGAAACTGTAAATGGCTCGGCAGCGTTTACCGACAGCGCCCCCACAGAGGTCTACGCGGAGGAAATGTCAGGGACTAAGCCAGCGGCCGCGGGCGGTGGGATGGATTCTTTTTTTTTTTGTCGGTCGTGGGGCTTGAACTCTGGGCCTGGGCGCTGTCCTTCAGCTCTTCAGCTCA